TACTTTATCGCACTTGCCCTTACGTGATATACTTGTTTATTGTTGCAATTGACTTGATATACTTGATTATGATGCGCGCACTTCCTGGAATTCCAGAAACCCTGTGGCGAGTTACTCTAGTCGAGCCGGCAAGGGCTTGGTCGATTGGGTAACGAACCCTGGGTCTCTTGTATTGTCGAGTGGAGTGATATCTCCTCGACTAATCGGTATACTCGAGTATTACCACCCGTGTTTATTGAGGATTTTGGGCCCAGTAGGGGGTGTGAATGGTGGACGGAGAGTCGTGTAAGTGGTGTTCTACTGGATTAGTTACTCACTTGAAAGTTGACGGAGTGTCAACTACTACGTGATCAAGCTTCTGGTAATGCAAAGGGGAATTTGGCTCCTGAGAGCCATCCGTATCCTTATGCTTTGGAATACTTATTGTTTATTGGATTATTGTTTCTTTTGAAAAACTTCTACATTTGCTCATTTTAAGATTGCTACTTGACGTGTTACTGTTCACATTTATGAACACTTTATGAACTTTATGCTCGTTACTTTGCTATATCGAAAACTCGTACTTATAAATAATGGTCAATTTGCTATTTGGAACCTCACTGGGCTTTTAGCTCATTCCACTCCATTTGTTTTCCTTTCAGGGGTACGAGCGAGGTGCGAGATATGTAAAGTCTAGCATAGACTAGTTGTTTGATTTTTGACTTGTACTCGATAGAGATAGTGAGTGAGTCCTGGCGAGAGCTAGGCAGGCGGTCCGCCGAACCCTTTGGTACGCCTTAGGGGGAGGTGGGGTCGTCACAAATTTTGTATTAAGTGATATTATTTTACAAAGTGTTAAGATATTTGTATTGGAGTGATAAAAAGATAAGTTTTAAACCAAAAAGGTGACAAGTGTCACCTTGTGATTTAATCTTGGACTTTGACCATTATTTCTTACATTTACTAATACTCAATTTTGACCCAAAAATCATCCTATTTCTATGCTTCATGGCCGGCTCTCTCTCAAAGGAAAAGAAGAAAAATCTCTCAACTTTCTAGCTTCTCATCTCACTCAATCTTCAATTCTAACCGATTAAACTTGAATTTACTCCATAAAACCTCTTAGTTTGGTGGAGTTGAGCTTGGTTGTGAAGTTGTTTGGAAAGCTAAGGTGACTAATTGCTCTATCTCTTGTATTGCTAAGGTGAGTTGTGAAGAACCACTTTCCTTCCTCTAATGATGTTCAATTCATGATTGGTGGTGGTATAAGATGCACTTTTATGGATTATATCTTGGTTTTGGTTGAATTGGTGAAGTTTTATAATTATTGGGGATTTTTCTGTTTTCATATGGATATGATTGTGTGGCTATATATGATGATTGGAAATGATGTTTAAGGACTCTATGAGGTGGAAAAAGTGGTCATTTGCAATCAATTTCTGTTTTGGAAGAAATTTCAGAAAATTAGGTTTTGTGAAGGAACATTCTGCCCGAATTTATAGCTCCTAGTTAGAGGCCTAATTGGCCTTGACTTAAAACATGAAAATTGTAGGGAATGACATTTTAGAGGGTCCTACAAAATTTCAGGTGAATCGGAGTAGTGTAGAATGAGAAAAGTCGAAATTACTATTGCTGTTCTGGTTTTACCCGAATGTAAGAATTTCGCCTGTAATTGATTGTTTTGGTTAGGAATGCTTCCGAATTGGTTGTTGAGGCCTTCTGATGAAATTTAGCCCTGTTTCTTATCTTTCGGCTGGCTTCGGAATTTCTTGATTTGGACTTAGGTAACCTGATTTATGATGTTTCCGGTAGAATGCGTTCTGTGAATATGTTTTTGTGATTCTGGTATGGTATCTTGCATTTTTGACATGGTTACACTCGAAACTGGGTTGAGTGACCTTCTGTAATATTGTAACCCTGTCTTTTAGCTTCAAAATGGTGTATCTTGCACCTTCATCCGACAATCGTAGCGCCTTTGGTACCATTACCGCAAAATGACGTCAAAACAGTTTTTCTGGTTTTGAGCTTAACTTTCATTTCCGGACTTTTCCCTAGCTTGACTTGTACTTGTACTACTGGGAGCTTGCTGAATGGCTATTGAATGAACTTGTTTTTGTGTGTGTACCTTTGGGTTGGAAGGAGGAAATAATGAAGCCTTGATGGCTGGAAAAGTAATGAAAGATAAGAGGAAGTGCTGTCCGAATTTTGAAAGGACTTGTTTGCATTGAGTTTGTGAACTAAGACTTGGATTTGAGTAAGGCAATGATATATGATGGATGGTTCCTGAGCGATGGAGGTGAGTGACCCCAAACTATTGTTAAAGCTTCTTATGAAATGTTTCTTGCATTATTTACTCGACTGCATCTCATGCGTGCTTGCATGTGAATTCATGATATGAGTTTGGCTTCAATGAGTTCTTGGGGATCTTGTGCTGGACACCAACGTCTCCACCTCTGTGTACTTGGAGCAAATAGCTCCGGAGCTCAAAAAGGGGCTCCCTCTGAATGTTAATGCTAATGTTAAATGATTTATTTGAGCGTTGGGTGTTCAAGTGCTATGACTTCACTGGCTCACGAGAGCAATAAACGGACATTTGTTCTTTGAATCATGACATCATCGAAAGGATCGAAATGCAATATTGTGAAATATATTTGATTACTGATTTTACTGGTTACTCGCTGAGCTTCTAGCTCACCCCAAAAATATTTTATTCCCCTCCACAGGGCTCGAGGCGAAGGAAACGTTTGTATTAAAGTTCTCCGTGTGTATGGTTGGTATTAAAGTTCTCCGTGTGAATGGTTGGTATCAAGGATCAGAGTGGCACAGCGGAAGCGTGGACGCTTCGCTTTTGATATGTAATTATTGGAAAATTTGATGTAATATTTGAGTTTTATCTTGTAATCTGTTTGAGAAATGTAGTGAACGACTGAGTCCCGGCGAGAGCTGGGCAGGCGGCCCACCGAACCCTCTGGTTCGCCTTAGGGGGAGGTGGGGCTGTCACACTAATCCTCATCAATTCCTTTGTGACCCACAAGCCATCTTCCAATGAGTTAAGAATTGCTAGACAAATCACCAACACGTCTTGATTTGGAACGAGGCTTGATTCAACACTTTGACAGTTTCTGTGCTCACATTGGCAACGACCCACCGTTGTGATAATGAAGTGTGTGAAGAGGAGAGGTAGTCTCGCAATAAGGCTTGGAGCCAGTACTTCTCTTGCAGTGAAGTTTAGAGGAAGAAAAAGTTTTGATGGTAGAACTACATGGCAAAAAGATTAAGCACCGCAAATTTAACTCAAATTTCTAGAGAAACTCATGCACTTCTGATGTCAATAGGGACCATGAGTTACTGTTTATAACATCAACTTTCCCTTGCTCATTTTATTCTTTTAGTACTAGAATTAGAGAAAAAAGCTTGTTCCGTTGATCCGAACTCACTCCTCTCTTCAATTACCTATATTATTGTGACAACTTAGGATTTTAATTGGGAGCAAATTGCTTGTCATCCGTCCTCCTCCAGTAAACTTTTTCACCTCTTATTAACGTCTTGTCTTTTGCTGTACTAAGGTTTCGATTGTTCACCATCATTAAAAAAAAAAACAAATCTTTTATCTTTTGTTTTCATTGGAAAGAGCAATAAAGCAAGAAAACAAAGGTAAAAAGGTAATCTTCGTAAAGGTGAAAAAGACTTGAGATGTGTTATTTCAACTAAAGGATTTTAGAATTCAATGAAAACCCCAAAAGTGCATGAGTGACAAAGAAGTATTTCATAATTTCTTGATGAATAGCTTCTATTTTAAGGCTTTTCTTTTGAATTCATATTTTTTAATTTAATAAAAACTATTTCCAGTTTAGCAATGGTTATGAGTAATTGAAAGAAAAGGGGGAAAAAAAAGAAAAAGAAACCAGTCACCATGTGACAGCCCCACCTTCCCTAAGGCGAACCAAAGGGGTTAGCGGACTGCCTGCCCAGCTCTCGCCAGGACTAACGTGGTGCAATTTAGAGCGATCTATTGCGTTCCGGAACTTACAAATGTGCGTAAACAAGTTAAAATGTCAAAATAAAAAAAAAAAAAAAAAAAGAAATCCGGAGTCAGCCATGAATAGTAACCGACCCGTCAGAACCCAACCAAATATCAAGCAAACATTCACATCTTGAAACTTAGCATTTACAAACCAAAGTGGCATACAAAAGTATTCAAAAGTGGATACATGTCTGGTTTGCCAAATCAAAAGAGAAACGGTCCAAAAAGTACATTTAGAGTTTCAATAAATGAGCTATACAAAAGATATGTCCAACTAGCTCAATTCGGCAACCAATTATCAATTGCAGTCCAAAAGTATTTATTTTCCTGTAAGGAAAACAAAAGGAATAGAGTGAGCTAATTGCCCAGTGAGATAATACTACTCAAGCAACCAAGTTCATAGATGCATCAAGCTTTTCAGTCCAATTCATCAAAAGTAAATAAAGACACACATCAATAATGATGATAAAAGGATTCGGGCGGCTCTCAAGAGCCCTTTTCCTCGTTTGCATTCTTGATCGGATCTCATTGACTCTCCGTCAATGTTTAAAAGTAACCAACCATAGACTTCACTTTACTTCCATTCCTTCCACCTAACATTCCCCTACCGGGCCCGAACTCCAAACACTTGCACTGTGGTATTACTCGAGTATACCGGAATCGAGAGTCTCTCATACTACAAGATTCCATATAACATTTCTCCAAGGCTCATTAATTGTCACGACCAAGCCTCGCCGGCTCGATTCAATCAACTACCAATGGGGTTGAGCTCAATGATAACAATCATGGTCGTTGGATACTCGTCCAAACGACACCAAGTCATGTACTTTCATTTCATGTAACATTCCAATAACATGAGAAATAAGTGAGAGTGATAAAGTACACCCTCACTTCAATCAATATCAATGGTACAATAAACATTTAACTCATCAAGTTCAAGTATCAAAGCCATATAGTAACACACAAGTGAGTAGTACACTCACCAAGCTTGCAAATGATATTTCATGCAACCCCGTCAAAGGAACATCGTGAACCACCGTCACGCCCTAAAACATGCAAACAAGTACAATGAGACTCGATAACGAGTCATAAACCAAAGCCAAATATCACCAAAATAGGGTTCCATAAGCACACACAAGCAATAGAGGAAACCAGAAAAATCCGGAAATGGAACTAGCTTTATCCCTGAAAAAAAATAGTTTTTGACGTCATTTTGCGGTAATGGCACCAAAGGCACTACGATTATCGGATGAAGGTCCAAGACCCACCGTTTCGAAGTTAAGAGATAGCGATACAATATTACAGAAGGTCACTCAACCCAGTTTCGAGTGCAACCAGGTCAAAAATGCAATCTACTACACCAGAACCCCAAAAACAGATTCACAGAATGCATTCTAGTGCAAACATCATAAATCACCCTACCTAAGTCCAAATCCAGAAATTTCAAAGCCATCCGAAAGATAAGGAACAGGGCTACATTTCATCAGAAGACCTCAACAACCAATTTGGAATCATTCCTAACCAAAATAACCAATTACAGAAGCAATTCCCAAATTCGGGTAAAACCAGGGCAGCAAGGGTAATTCCGTCTTTTCTCAAGCTACGCTACTCCGATTGACCTGAAATTTTTCAGACACCTCTAAAATATCATTCCCTACAACTTTTATGTTTTAACTCAAGGCCAATTCGGCCTCTAACTATGAGCTACAAAATCGGGCAGAATGTAATTTCCAAGAACCCTAATTTTCCAGTTTTCTTCCAAAACAGAAATTGCTTGCAATTAACCACTTTTTCCACCTTCTAGCTTCCTTAAATACCATTTCCAATCATCATACATAACCACATAATCATATTCATATGAAAACAGAAAAATCCCCAATAATTACAAAACTTCACCAATTCAACCAAAAATCAAGATATAAACCATAAAATTGCATCTTATACTACCACTAATCATGGATTAAACATCATTAAAGGAAGGAGAGGGGTCCTTCTCAACTTACCTTAACAAGACAAGAAAGAGAGCAACTAGTCCTCTTAGCTTTCCAAGTAACTCCACCAAACAACTCACTATCACTCCCTTAAGTGTTTTTATGGAGCAAAAACAAGATTCAATGGTTGATTTGGTAGATTGGAGCAAGATTGAAGCCAAAAACTTGAAGAGTTTTCTTTCTTTTGTTGCTTAAGGAAGTCGGCCAAGATGAAGGAGAAAATGGTGAATTTTTGGTAGTTTTTTTTTGATTTATTTGGTCAATTGGTAAGAAAATGAATAGTGGTCTTACAAGTCCATCCAACCAAATGGTGACACTTGTCACTTATTTAATGCAAGTCTATCACTTTGTTTCCTCTCACACCAATCCAAATTGCAACCTCTACTTATCTCTTAACACCCGGTAAATTAATTGCAGTATCCAAAACTTAACCTAGTTGGCCGAATTTTTGCGAACTTTTCGCACTAGTGGGTCCCACGTCCGGTATACGCTCTTAATTTCTCAAACCTATTCGATACTAGAAAAATCATCTAAAAACTATATCTGCTCCTTAAAAGTATCTAGAATTTTTCCTAATCACGAAAATGCAGAAAACAAGCCATGAAAGATAATAAAACCTAGAAAATTGGAAAAATTACGGGTTCTCACGCACCATCTTTTCTTTTTCTTCATTATCAGCAAGTTAAAGGAACTTCCATTTTTAATTGTAGTATTGAAAAAGAGACTAAAGAAGAGGAGTGCTCCTTTTATTTCTGCTTTTTTTTTCTATCAAAGAAAAATATTTATTCTAATTTGTCACTTAAAAAATTGACAAAATCAAACAGATAAAATAAAAGACCAAGAAGAGAAAAGGAAAAATTTTAGTCTAAGTCGTTATAAAAAATATTGATACAAAAAAAAAGGCCAAGATGAGAGACGTGAAGGATGCCGTTCAAAAAGCAAAACGTCACCATGAAAGTGCATAGTTGTATTTGAGGTAAGACGCAAAATGAAGAAATTTGTTCTCATTAAAAATGCTGAGCTGTCGTAATGTTACTGGTGTCTGCAAAGGGCGCGAATTCAAATCAGCCGGAAACACATTTAACAGTTAGGATTAAATATTAATGTTATTCAAATTATAAATTTAAAGAAAAAAATGTTTGAGTTCCAAAAAAAAATAGACAAAAACATTTTAAAACCTATTTCTTGAATAACAACTTACCTAATGGAGAAAATCTTAAATTTACTCTATGTCATGACCCCACCTCCCCCTAAGGCGAACCAGAGGGTTCGGCGGGCCGCCTGCCCAGCTCTCGCGGGACTCAGTCGATCACTACAGTCCTCAAACAAATACAAGATACGATCTCAAATAAAAAAATCAAATATCCCAAAACTTTACATATCAAAAGCGAAGCGTCCACGCTTCCACTGCGCCACTCTGATCCTTGATCACAATTAGTATACAGGAGGAAGTCCAAAACTAGACTATTACACATCCAATCAATTCTAAACGTTCAATACAATCCCAATATGAACGATTACACAAAAGGAAATCTAAGTTCAATCCATACATGAGATAATCCAGGATTAAACACTACAAGCCACTCCTTCGCCTTGAGCCCTGTGGAGGGGAATAAAACATTTTTGGGGTGAGCTAGAAGCTCAGCGAGTAACCAATAAAATCAGTTATCAAATCAGTTTCACAATCGTTCTTGTCAATAATGTCATTTCCATATGGAGTATCAATAATTCAAGAAACATTTACAATGGAAAGCGATAGTAACATTCATGAAAAGGATACATTCGTTCTCCTGTCATTTCATTGCATTTGGTTTCATTCGTTCATTCATTCACCCCGTCCCTGGCTTTTGGCCAGGCTCCACCAACCTACAAGGTAATACTCGAGTATACCGAAACGTTCACCCAAGTTCCTAGTCGCCCGACCAAGTCCGCTTCTGGCTCGAGACGACCGGTAACAAGGGGCAATGGCCAGTTCAGCCCAAAAGGCTTACATTCATGCGCAAGTAGCATTTAAACATTAATCATTGAAAATTTCATATTTATTTAGGTCGAGTGCGATAAAGTACACACTCGTCTAGAAAACTCGTTTTAACAATCATTGAAAGTAAAATCAATAATAACAAGACACTAATGCAAGCACGCATGATATGTAAGAAACAGTTCCAAAAGTAACTTTGAAAACGGTTCAAAAGTAGATAATGCAGTAAAGCGGTTCAAAAGTAAATTGGGAAACAGTTTGAGGTCACTCACCTCCACGGCTCTGAAACCATCCATCATATAGCATTGCCTTGCTCAAATCCAAGTCTTAGATCACAAACCCAATGCAACAAGTCCCTTCAAAGTTCGGACAGCACTTCCCCTAAATTTGCTAACTTTTCCAGCCATCATGGCTTCATTATTTCCTCATTCCATCCCAAAGGTACACACACAACAACAAGTTCATCCAACATGCATTCATCAAGCTCCAAGTAGTACCAGTCAAGCTGGGGAAAAGTCCGGAAATGTAAGTTAAACGGAAAACCAGAAAAACAGTTTTGACGTCATTTTCCGGTAATGGTGCCAAAAGCACTACGATGGTCGGATGAAGATACAAGACCCACCGTTTCGAAGCTAAGAGACAGGGCTACAACAATGTAGAAGGCCACTCAGTCCAAATCCTAGCACAACTAGGTCAAATATGCAGAATACCAAACCAGAACCGTAATTACAGGTTTACAAATTACACTATGCTGTAATTAGTCCAACTCAGTCTATACAGGTCCGAATGCAGAAATTCCAAAGGCATGCGGTAGCTAAGACATCAAGCTACATTTCATCAGAAGACACCAACATCCAAATCCAAAGCAATTCCAGTCAAAACAGACGATTACAATCACAGTTCGCACATTCTGATCACCCAGAACAGCAACAGTAAAAACGATATATCTCATTCTACACAACTCCAAATGCCCTGAAATTTTACAGGTACCTCAAAAACATCAATACCTACAACTTTCATGTTTTGAGCCAAGGCCAATTCGGCCCCTAACCATGAGATACAAAACCGGACAGAAAGGGGGTTATGAAACCCTAACTTTTCACATTTCCTTCCAAACCCAAAATTGGTTGCAATTTCCTATCATTTACATCCACTAGAGTCATAACCCCTCATTACCAACCATCATAAATAACCACAACATCATGATCACATTAAACCAGAAAATTCCTCAAAAAAATAAAAACTTCACCAATTCATTCCAAACCAAGAAATAAACCACAATTTTCAACACTATAGCCACCACTAGGCACAAATTAAACATCATTAGGTGTAAGAGGAAGTGTAATCATCACTTACCTAGTAAACAAGAGAGAGGGAGTTGTAGAACACCTTAGCTTCCTTAAAAAACTTCACCAAACAACTTACTAGCACCTAATGGAAGACTTTTATGGAGTAGAAACTAGTTGATGCAATTGGTTTGGAAGATTTGAGCTAGTTGGAAGCTTAAAATTGGAGAAGTTTTCTTTCTTCTTGAGCTTAAGGTGGCCGGCCAACATGGAGAAAGAAAGAGTGAATTTTCAGTCAATTTTTGAGATATTTAATCCAAGGGCAAGAAAGGTCAAAAAGGTGAATAGTTGTCTTAGGCTTCAACCACTCACAAAGTGACACGTGTCACTTCATTAAATGCATTTCTATCCTTTTGTTTCCTCTCACATCAATCACTTCACCTCCTCTACTTATCTCTTAACACCTGATAAATTTCAACCAGTATCCGAAACTTAACCTTATTGGCCGAATTTTTCCGAACTTTCGCACTAGTGGGTCCCACATCCGGTATACACTCTTAATTTCTCAAAACCTATTTGATACTAGAAAAATTATCCAAAAACTATATCTGCTCATTAAAAATATCTAGAAAATTTCCCTACTAAAGAAAACGCAGAAAACAAGCCATTAAATAAATAAAACCCTACAAAATGGGAAAAGTACGGGTTCTCACACTTATACTTTTCGGGGCGTCACACTCTATATAGTTAAAATTCAATTAAAGTTCATTTACAGAACAAAGTTAAATTTAAAGTACGTACAAATAAATTGTACAGGGGCTGGGGAGTGGATGTTCCGACGAGAAAAGTACAAATAAATGTATGGGGGTTGGGGACGAATGTTCAAATAAGTTAAATACAAATAAATTGAATGATAGTTGGAGGGTGGATGTTCAGATAAGACAAGTGTACTATTGTAATTTCTGAATTTTTTAGAACAATGAAGTATAATACTTCCTTATAATGTATCAAGGGGAAAAATCCATTTTTCATCCTCAAACTTTGTGACTAAGACACATTTGGTCCCCAAACTTTTTGACCAGACACATTGAGTACATGTATTAACTATTTTTTGCCACATTTAGTCAAAAAACGGGAAAATTTTCAATTTGGACGGTGAAACCCACGTGGCCGTTAACTTATGCATTGGGAATCAATGCAAGTCAGACTAAAGTCCACACATTCTCTCTCTAATGCAAGTCGACACAAATAGTGGAGTTTTGGTGTTTAAATCAGTCAACTACAATATCAGTTCCTCTTCAATCAGCAAAAATTCACTATTTCTCTGACATCCACCCTGTAGTTCGCAAAAAGGGAATTGAGGAGATGATAACGAATTTCCCTGTTGCTCCCAAACAGGGAACTGAGAGAATTAAGGTGATGATCTCGACCAGTTTGTAGGATGATATTCCAAATAAATTCAAGAAAGATATACCATGCCTTAGGCTACACCTACTAAACTTGCCGAGTTTGCTACGGAGTGACCCAGTTAAAATGCGTTCTTGCAAGCTTGACTAACTAATGGTCCGCCACACAGAAGTAATAGCAAATAACAACATGATTTTTTATCTTCACAAGCACCATAACTAATAACAGAAATGAAAATAGTCACAAAATCAGCAGGGACTAATCCTGTTTGTTGTCTTCTGATGGGTTAGCCAGAATATAAGTCAGATCAAGAGAATATTGTGTTGCTCTAATTACCTGGATCTCCCAAGGAAAAAACTTATCAATCTCACAAAGAGGGGCCAGAGTTCAGTTTTTGCAGTAGAAAAGATGTTGTTAGTTTCCAAGTTACTCTTATTTGAAGATCCAGTGAGAGACTGTGGTGCGGCCTGCAAGGAGACTTTTTCAAATGGCTTTAACAAATCGATGTGTGTCTCACTGGAAAGTGAAGACAGATGGGATGACCCGTTCTGCAAAATCAGAAGAAACAATAGATTCCTAACTACTTAACTTCAAAAATCAAATTTAAAAATAAAGCAAAGAATTCTAAAAACTACAAGTAAAATTACTGAGTTTACCTCCCTCCTTCCTCTTTTGTTACATAGTTTTGGTAAAAAGGCAAGGATGAAAAAAATAAAAATAAAAAAGAAGAACTCTTACCTCTTCAAAGAGTAGCATAAGGTTATTCCATGCATCAGGGAAAGGTTCTTTAACAGCTAAACTTCTCGTGCAGTGGTACAATGCCAGGAAAGCATCGCCAACATATGTTGCTAACAGTGCCAGCTGCAAAGAAACACAAATTTTAAGATCGAGGAAATATACAGTAGAATAAGTTTAGCAAATGAATTTGAATGTAGAAACTTCTTAAAAATCAGGATTAAACAATTGCTCCAACTGTTGCCAAAGAATCAATCTAGAAATGAAACAAGGTCTGCAGGATGGTTTCAAAAGTGACTTTTGTTCGCCAATTCAGGCTTGTCCCCAACACTAGTAGAGAATTTGGAACTGAAAATAGTGTAAGAGCAAAAATGACAGATACAAAGCTTTTCTAACATTCTAGAGCTAAACAAAGCCTGTGTTCATCATTAAGTAATATGAAGAAACCTACTTGATTATGGGGATTGCCGCTAGCTGGCCATATCCTGCTTGCTTCTAAGTAGTAAGTAAACGCAACCGACCATTTAGAAGCATCCTGTTTCTTACAAAGCTCGCCATATCTAGCAAGATCCCCAAGACATATTAGAAAGCGGTGGCATGCAAACTGACACTTGCTCAATTTCATTTGTTCAGTAGAAAATGAACTCTCCTTTGTTATACAAGAACACCTCCCTGGCAGACCACAAACTTCTCTGAAAGCCTTGGTCAAATTGCTATAGAAGTCAGTCGCTTCAGACAGGAATGTCTTGAATCACTCCCAGTACACTCAAAGCTTCGTTGAATCACTCCCCTACCTCTGCTAATCTCACGCAGCTTTTCACTCCACAAGCTCGGTGGGAAAGAGATAAACTTGGAGAGGAAAAGGAGCTCCACCCTTAGACTTTGAGTGTACTTTTACTCAACATTTTGTGTCGACTTGCATTAGAGAGAGAATGTGGACTTTAGTCTGACTTGCATTGATTCCCGATGCATAAGTTAACGGCCACGTGGGTTTCACCGTCCAAATTGAAATTTTCCCGTTTTTTGACTAAATGTGGCAAAAAATAGTTAATACATGTACTCAATGTGTCTGGTCAAAAGTTTGGGGACCAAATGTGTGACGCCCCCACTTCTCCCTAAGGCGAACCAAAGGGTATCCGCGGAACGCCTGCCCAGCTCTCGCCAGGACTCACTACAATCCATCATTCAAAAGCTCGAAATACTTTAAGTAACTTCAATACATAATTAAAGTACTTCAAATATCTCACACTTACAATTATGTAGCTTTCAAGCTTAAATACAACCCAACGGAAAAGGGTACAATAGCCATCCGTTATAATATAACTTAAAGTTTTCAAAAGAAAACAATCTAGTACTACTCACGAGCACCCTTGGTCTCGAACCCTGTAAAAGAAATCCACAACGTGGTATGAGCTACACAGCCCAGTGAGATTCCAAGACACTCTAACAGTTCAAATAAATCAAGTAAGTTGGGCATATCATATGCATGGTTCAAGGTTACACAATGGCATGTTATCATGAGGTGGTAATCATTGTACGGGTAATTTGAGACATTTATCATGGTATGAGACATTAGCATGTATAGTTCACGAGTGATTGGAGCTTATTACAGGCATAGCTCAGGATTTCATGTTGGCATTTTAGCACGAAACAATCATCATGATACCAGGTAAACATATACTGTAGGATACGGTGTTCCAGTGGAACTCTGTCGGTCATCTGCACCTTATGACTTCCGGATCCCCTCGGTTTGACTGGCCATCACCTTATCCCTCCAGTGGTAATACTCGAGTATACCGAAACGGTGTCCCAAGGTTCCAACCTACCCGACCGAGCCCAGTCCTGGCTCGAGTAGGTTAGTAACGATGAGCAGGGCCCAATTCAGCTTAGAGCTTACAACATGCACAAGTAATCAAGTAATTCGGCAAAAGGTAAAATTCATCATTTGAGTAGGTCGAGTGAGGTAAAGTACACACTCGCCTAACAATGATGGACAACTTCATATAACATGCGATTCATGATAATCAAGTGATCAAGTAAGTTGGTGATTACGTAAGCAGATAATCAAGTAAGCAAGTAGCCGAATAGATTAGAAAACGGTAAGTAAACATGGTTAACGGTAAACGGTTAACGGTGGTAATTACGGTTAATTGGTAGACATATGTCATTTTAATAGGCCACCATTGGCCGTTTTCACTTTTTCCACATAAGAGTCGAGGAGATTCACTCCAACCGACTTATGCTGTCATAGCATAATTAATCATTTAAACACATCATGTAGATATGCTCTCCAAGCATTTCATATCTAATATTTCAAGTAATCACATAAATATGCTCTTTAAGCATTTCATATCGAATAGTTCAAATATACATATTTCAGGTATTTCATGTCGAGTAATTCAAGTATACCTTATTCAGATATGCATGAGTGTGGTAAATACTTAACATATAGCACTTAACACTTAATAATCATGGGTTATGCATGTCATAGACTTATTCCAATTACGTATTCCTATATGGAACACTCACCTATAGCAACAAGAGAGTAATACTCAAACAAATGTCTAGACGTCCACTTCGAGTTCCTCTTGAAGGTCCCTGAGCGCCTGGGCAAATAACCATCAACTATTATACACTATCACTTAGAACCCCTACTTATCAAAGAAGGTTATACAATCTAAGGGGAATTCATTAATTGGGCCAAAATTATTAATAATCGAGACTCAAGAGTAAAGTTTTAAAGTCTAAAGAGAGAGACTAATATTTTCCATGAAATCGAGTTCAAAATGTTCAATCGGTATCGAGAAAAGAAGGCAAGTTTCCAAAATCTCATTTTCTAAGAAATTGACAAATTTCAGCTTTGGGTGTCAATTTTAGAAAAATCGTATCTTGCACTATGTAGGTCCAAAATTGGAAAGATTGATACCGTTGGAAACTTCTTCAAAAGCGCTAAAAGTTCCTAGAAGATACTTTTCCATGATTCCAAACAGAAGGTATTCAAAAATTGACTCAAAGTTGCTGCTTGGGACCATTTAGACAGTTTCGGGGTTGGTTTTTGACCATCTTTGAAAATCCGGCAAAATTCATACAATACGAACTAACCTCCGAAATTTAGAACTCAATTAGAGCTACAATCAAAGTTTAAAACAAAACAAACGGTACAAGAATTGAAGTTTTGAGCGCCAAGATATAGCAGCTCAAAGTTGGCTAAAATTCCTCCTCGATCAAGAATTTCCAGATTTAAACATGAACTTTGGGACTTTGTTTGAACATCTAAACAGACTTGAAATGGCACCAAATTTGGTCTGATTATACTACCATATAAGGGCTATTCCTCTGTCAAATTTCATAGAAAAATATGCACGGAAAGTCACTTAACGAAATCACTCAAGTTTCCAAATTTTTAAGGCAAAGCTGCCTCGTGTATGAAAATTTCCTTTTTCTAAACTTTTGACCAAGGGAAGATACCTAAAACATGTCTCGTTTATGATAATCAGGTCTAGCAAGAATTCAAAATACATTTGATAGGTGATTTACATCAAGAATTTCGAAATAACAAGTCCCAAGTCATTGTTAGTTACAAATCTGTCCAAGTGGAAAATTCTATCACTGTAGCTGTTTCAAACTTTGGCCACAACTCACTCAATTCAACTTGGAATTGGGCGTGGTTGATGGCGTTGGAAAGCTCTCTCATAAAGCTGAATTTTCTCAGAATAAACCATTTTCAAATTCCATTCACAAACAGCTCATTTTTGAGCATGAAGATACAAGTCCTGTCCTGTCTCCTGGAGAGAAACGAAACAGGACAGTGATTTTCAATCGAATGGTGTTGCTCACTCAAGTGGAACTAGAATGTACATTTGGTACCAATGGAAAGCTGGGAATGTCTAGTTTCAAATGCCACTGACGGCACTGAATTTCGACATCGGAGTAAAGAGTTATAGCCATACAAGATGACTGCCTAGGCAATACGGGATTCATTTTCCAGTTTTGCTAACTTTGGAAATCAACTCATTTAACCAACCAAATCATGTTATTTTTCAATGAAATTTTGTACACACTCACAATAACATGTAAACAATATAATCAAGTCATTAGAACCTCAAAATTGTGCACAAAAATGGTCGGACAGGCAGGGGTAAAACGGTCACTTTAGCTCCAAGCACCTCCTATGATTTTCTACCAACAATACAACATTAATCCACTAATTTAAGCACTAAACCACCATTAAATCCATCATCAAGCATGAGATCAGTCCTCAAGACAAAGGTGGGAGTTCATAGAGCCCACCCATTTCATTTTACACCATAAACAAGCTACCCAAATGCAAATACTACCTTATACATGTAAGATGATCTTCATAAAGCAAGATTTAAGTGTTGGATTAACACCTACTTGATTAGAGGATGAAGCAGAAATTTCGGCCCCTTAGATGCTCAAGAAAACCATGGATAGCAGCTCCTTTCTTAGCTCAATGGGATCTCTAATGTTTAGTTAAGTGTAGTTCGAATTTGGAGTGAATTGGAAGGTTTGATGAAGATTTGATGAAGGAAAAATGAAGAACTTGGTCTTGTTTTTCCTTGGAGTTGCACGGCTGGAATGAGGAAGGAAAAGAAGAGTTGCACGGCTGTTTGAGGTGATAAAGTGGAGGGTTTTGATCTGGTGTGATGCACCCATGTGAAACTAAAATGTGTGGCTCTCATTGATTCAAATGTTAACTCTTTTTCCCGCGCGTTTCGTGTTCGATTCCTCTCGAATTTGTTTCACTGGTGCACTAAACCTCTAATGCACTTATATTCATATAATATTATTCACTCTCAATCGTCCCAAATAAGGGTCTAAAGTTCCTGAATTTAAATCGCGCGTTGAAAACGCGTATCTCCAATTTAGCGCGATAACGCGAACTTCCGAGAAATTCTTATAACGATAGTACTAATAACTATCACCTGAGTATTTAAACATTAAAATACCGAATTTAGGTCCATTGTACATGTCTCCAATATTCCAAACTTATTGTACTCTCAAGCGGATAAAATCTCCAAGCACTATTCACTATTTTTACTAAACGCGCTCCAGGAAATTAATTCGTGAAATGAGTTACTTTAAAATATAACGAAGTTATATTACCATGCATTTAGGTCTAATAAGACTAGAAAATATTCCTCGAGGCAAATATCCAATTAAATAATTTATTAAGCCACAAATTAGGCTTAAAAATAATAGTTTTTACGAGTCCTCACAAAATGTGTCTTAGTCACAAAGTTTGAGGATGAAAAATGGATTTTTCCCATGTATCAAGTGGGATTTAAACTTTTGACTTACTTCCTTGTAATGTATTAGGTAGGATTTAAACTTCTGACCTATATGCATGATAGAGTTTTAAGAGACTATACCTGGCCAATTGGACCAAAACCAATGAGTTTGTTTGGACAAAGATAATTTGGTTTGCAAAATTTGTTTTCACAAATTCCAATCACCTTTTTATCTTCCCAATCACCTTTTTATCTCACATACATCACATCACAAAAAGTGCTACAGAAAATATCTCAAATAAATCATCCAAATAAACTCTTATCCAAACAAACTCAATGGTTTCAAAAAGGTCAATCAAATTAAAAAAGAGGCCGAAACTATAGATCTTCAGAAATTAGGAGGGAGTATTTACTTTATTTTATTTCTTTTCTTTGGGAGCTAAAGGAGGCAAATATTGGCAAACGACAACGTTGGCACACGTGATCCTGCATATTTTATAAAGCAGTTATTGATATTTGGACCGTTGCGCATACATTAACGTGACAAATTCCAACGGCTACTTTTCTCTTGGTATCTTTTACTTCTGCTTTACCCTTTTTTACTTCTGCTTTACCCTTTTTCGAACAACTTGCATCATTACAGCTTTTTCTTGGCTAAAATTCCATGGAGATGAACCCCGAGATTGCCCCTTATGGGGGCGCATTGGTGATGGTGGTGGAGTACCTAGAATCCTCTATGTGCAGAGATCTGCTCTCCAAATTCCCTGACAATTCGGCCTTTGATTTTGACTATTCACAGAGCTCCATTTGGTCCCCTTTGATCCACAGGAAATTTCCTTCAACAACTCCCATCAGTAATGACCGCAGAAATGTACTGAGCTGCGGCCTCTCGAGAAAGCTTGTTTACAATGATGATGAAGGGCTGACCAAGATCAAGAAAGTGACTGCAAATATCAAGAGAAAGTTCACTGATGCTGTTTCTGATAATCTCCTGAAGTATCAAAAGATGAGGAAGAGAAAGAGGAAGAACAGTCTTGATTTTACTCCTTGCCCTTCTTCTAAGCTTCCTTCCACTAGTCCAACACCAAGAAAGGTACTATCATTCACTATTCAGAAATAAAAAACTTAATTTTCGGTGACTTTATTCTGATTAATTATCTGAGTGGTATATTTTTGTGGTGATTTGACTATTTTTCTTGAGGTGTAGAGTAGTGCTACTAATAGCTAATATGTTTTTATCTTTAGCAGTCTCATTAATGAGATAAATTTTGTTGTTTAGGGATGGGTAAAGGTGCTGAAAGCTGCTTCTAAGCATTTCAAAAAGAAGAGCAAGAAGAGAGACTCGTATACTCAGATCAACTTCTCAAGTTGTTTCACGTAAACAGACTCCTGAGAACTGCTTTTCTAGTTTTCTTCACATCGGTCATCTTTTGCTGCCATGTTTCTCATTCTTTTATGTAATTCGATTACTATCATCAAATTCTATTAATAGACCGAATTACTGAGTAGTCTTTAGAAATTTATAGGTTTTGCACATTTTCGAACTTCTATCTTGTCATCATCTCTAAAGGTTTAACAGATTTTGAAACTGCAGTTAGGTTGTAACCATCCTAATGCTGCTATTTAGATTACTGGAAATTAACACATACTCTTGCTTAGAAAATTGGGCAGTTCCAGGATGCTGTACACGCTAGTTGTATCTGTCAAGATGAATCATGACTGAAATATTATTCATCTCGAATATTTGAATGTCACACGACATGCCTACGGATATTAGCCACAATGTGCCCGGAAAAAAGAACTGTTGTAGTTATGTTCGTATGTTATGAGGAAGATAACATCAGCAGTAGTGGGTAACTATGATTTCCTGATGGCAAAAAAGCCTTGCTCAATTAAGTGTATTGTTGAGTTGGCTTCCCATTGACATAAACAATGACAAAGTAGTTGTGGATTTACATAGACCAAATACACGGCCTGAATAAAGCTTATTGGCACAAGGTACTCAATGTTCTGATAATTTGTTCTAATCTGTTATGATGAAAGCTTGGCAATAATCACAAAATGCAGCTAAATTTGAAGTTACAAGATCCAATTGTCCTTGAATTCTTGAGTATAATTAGTTAGCATACTATACGAGTCTGCAGTATGTTGAACAGGAAACTTGATATGCTATCCACAACCCATAACTTACACTGGTACTAAGCATCCATAAGTTACACTCGTCATTTTTGCGCTACCAAAGGATCTTCAATGAAACGTCTAAGTGAAATGAAAGAAGAGCCACCATCCATCAATGCTTCTATAGCCTTCTTTCCAATCTCCTTAACTCTCCTTCGCACAGGATTTTCATCGTCCATCAAACACCTTATGGCCTTCTCTATCTCATTAAATGGTACAAGCTTATGAGGATTCTTAAAACGGTAGTCTAAGGTCAACTGCATGGCTAATTCCAAATCTTTTACTAATTGAAAAGCATTAGATTGTTGTTCAGCGTATACAGGCCATGTTGCAATTGGCACACCATTCCACAAGCTTTCCAGTATAAAATTCCACCCACAGTGAGATACAAGGCCACCAACTGCTTCATGGGCTATAACACAAAAAATACCTTTTTCTTTGTTCGCTCCAAAAACACTTCTGGCAGAATCTCAGAAAAATTGGTATACTAACTCGCTTTGCACTGAATTCCTTTGGTGCTGCCGCCCGTGCAACCATAAGAATCTATATCCACTTCGCTCCAGAGCAGCCGCCATCTCTGCTATCTGGGGATGCTCAAAACCTCCCATGCTTCCAAAACAGAGGAAAAGAGCAGATGAAGATGGCTGGTCATCAAGCCATTTGATAATATTTTAGGAGTTCGGATGCTTTTCGACCTCAAAGTTGATCACAGGTCCCAACCGTATAAATTGGTGCTAATTCCTTATCTGATTCCAGATACTCAGTTGCATGGGAGATTCTAATTCGGCAAATGTATTTATGATAAAGCTTTTTGTCTCTCTAAATCGTGTACCTTGATATAACATTGATCCATAACCCCCAGTCTTATCAAACAGAAAAGATGGTAAAACCCTCGAGGGTACAGGGTGGGAATAGGTAGTTATGATTGAATCAGGATCTCGTGAAAAGTCCAAAATACCCTTGCTGTTTTAAGAATTTCCCAGCAGTCCGTTTCTTCAGTTCAGTCCAGTTTATCACGATTTTTGACCAGGATCCATTCTGATTTAGCTCTGGGCCAAAACATGAAAGTTGTAGTGTTCTGAAGTAGCTTTAAAATGCCTCTAAGAACACATGATTTGGACTTGTGTACACTGAGTTAGGTCCGTTACAGCATAATGCGTTTAAACTGCCGGTGAATTGGTTTCTGGTTTAGTAATCTGAGATTTTGACTAAGTTACATTAGGAAATGGACTAAGTGACCTTCATGAATGTTGTAGCTCTGTGTCTTAGCTTCGAAACGGCGTAGGTTTCGTTTTAATCCGATAAGCGTAGCCTCAGGTATGGTATTACCGCATTTGTACGTCAAATCTGTCTTGAACTACATTGCGTTTCTGCACTTGTACTTGATGCGATTCTTGTTGTTATGATATTGTGAGCCTATGGAACGGCTCTTGACATAAATTGCTGATATGTATGTTGTTGGGCTGTTGTTGAAGAAAAATAATGAAGCCTAAATGGCTGGAAAATTAGGTAAACACAAAGGGCATGCTGCCCAAATTTACGCTCGAGGACTATATAAATACACTTGCGACTTGGGTCGAATTGATATGAATAGTACTTGAACCATCTAGGGTACTTGAGTCTTCTTGTTTCGAGGTATGTAAGTAAGGACTTGGCCGAACTTGTACCCTTGAGAAATGAAATAATGATTGCTCGAAGTATGTTTTCCTTGTACTTCAACTCGCAAGACAATTTCAAGTATAAATGTTACAAAGTTTTATCGTTTAAAAAGCGAGCAAGTGTTTCACGACTACTATCCGAGTGAATTTCAATCTCTTGATTTTTATTGAACTAAACGTCTAAGTTGTGAATCTTAGTCATGTTTCAAAGTTCTCAAACTGAGTTTTATCGCAGATTTGGACTCCGAACCGGAGTATAACCTGAAAGTGACCAGTAAAGGCACTATATCTTTTGGTGAGTGCTTTCAAATACCGAATTGAACTTGATACTTGAACTTGATACGTGACCAATCTGATTACATGTTATATACGTGAATTGTAAGGGCAAGAGTGTACTTTATCGCACTTGCCCTTACGTGATATACTTGTTTATTGTTGCAATTGACTTGATATACTTGATTATGATGTGCGCACTTCCTGGAATTCCAGAAACCCTGTGGCGAGTTACTCTAGTCGAGCCGGCAAGGGCTTGGTCGATTGGGTAACGAACCCTGGGTCTCTTGTATTGTCGAGTGGAGTGATATCTCCTCGACTAATCGGTATACTCGAGTATTACTACCCGTGTTTATTGAGGATTTTGGGCCCAGTAGGGGGTGTGAATGGTGGACGGAGAGTCGTGTAAGTGGTGTTCTACTGGATTAGTTACTCACTTGAAAGTTGACGGAGTGTCAACTACTACGTGATCAAGCTTCTGGTAATGCAAAGGGGAATTTGGCTCCTGAGAGCCATCCGTATCCTTATGCTTTGGAATACTTATTGTTTATTGGATTATTGTTTCTTTTGAAAAATCTTCTACATTTGCTCATTTTAAGATTGCTACTTGACGTGTTACTGTTCACATTTATGAACACTTTATGAACTTTATGCTCGTTACTTTGCTATATCGAAAACTCGTACTTATAAATAATGGTCAATTTGCTATTTGGAACCTCACTGGGCTTTTAGCTCATTCCACTCCATTTGTTTTCCTTTCAGGGGTACGAGCGAGGTGCGAGATATGTAAAGTCTAGCATAGACTAGTTGTTTGATTTTTGACTTGTACTCGATAGAGATAGTGAGTGAGTCCTGGCGAGAGCTGGGCAGGCGGTCCGCCGAACCCTTTGGTACGCCTTAGGGGGAGGTGGGGTCGTCACAGATGGTATCAGAGCTCCTTTTGAGCTCGTGCCGGGAGAAGGTTCTCGGACTGTGGGAATTGACTTGTTAAGTGTGGAACGATTGTCTATTGTTGGAGACATTAGTTAGTTATGCCAGGTGGGAATCTCTAATATGGATGATTTGCTCTTGGGACCGGCCGGCTCGAGTTGTGAATTGTCTTATTGTGGATTCTTGTACTTGGGTATCATATAGTGAAGAGCGTTAGAATAAGGGTCTGTATCTTGATTGCACTTGAGGTGAGTTTTGATGGAAAGGTTAATGCGTGGATGATTCTAACATTTAACCTTGTTATTGGACTGATCAAAGGGGTTTGCAATACTTGAACTGTCTGAGACAGACTAAGATGAGCTCATTTGGGACTTGAACTTGTTTTGGTGAGTGTGCTCTTACGTACATGTAATGGACCTGATTTGATTTTTACACATGAGTAATATGACCTATATGAGGATTTGAATTCGGCGACTGTTTGAGAATGTCAATTGCTGGGTATAGGCTATTCGAGTGAGTTCTTATTTGTACCCGTGCTTCTTGAACTTGAAGTAATTGAATCTACTTTTGAACTTATATGTTTGAACCCTGCTTTGACCTTGCTTTTGAACTTATTCGTATTTGTGTGGCTTTGCCTGTTGTGTTTCCAAGCACCGCCAGGGGTAAAATTTTCGACTTGAGGCTTAGCCATGTTTTAAATTTTTCGAATATCTGAGACTTTTGTTTCAACTTAGGGCTAGTTATGCGAATTGAGCCCTTTTTTTTGCATGTTCTATTTGGTTATCTCTTAGCTCTTTACTAAATGATAAGGTCATATATAAGGGATTGGAGTGATTTCTAGTACCTGACTGACTTTAAAGGACTCTTAGTACCCGTTGGAATTTCGAGGGCGAAATTCTTTTAAGGAGGGGAGATTGTAACATCCCGAATATTAGGAGGTTGTTTGTGAAGAAAATATTAAAGTATATTTCTTCGGGTTTGATTTAAAACCTTATGTTGTTTTAAACGACTAGAAACCCTAATGTTTAATCAAAAACCCTAGTTTACTTGTGATTAAACGGTTTCTTAAATCTTTCATATTTTACTAGAGATTCTAATGTTAATTATTGAAATTGTAAATTCCTCACGTTTTCTTAAAAATTTCCTTTTATTTGAAAATTATTATTTATTAAGGCCCTACTACCCAATTGTTCAACAATAAGTGCAGATGAACCTGGAAATAGGGTTTTACACTTCGGTTTCAAGATTTGAGCAAAATTGGGGTTTTCGCGATTTTTTTTCGCCGGATGAATTTTCGGTACTGACCAAGGATCAATTTGGTGATTAAAAGTGACTTTTAAGTGAAAAATAATATGTGAGTAGTAGCAATAATATAAGGTTAGTAAATAGGAAGTAAAAATCCTAGTACGTGTGTTTTTAAGAAAAACGGCGCGAACCGGCGGGTCCCGCGCACTACCGATTGAACGCACCACTTGACTAC